ACAAGGATATTAGTAGACCTTTCTGGTAGGCTCGAAATCCTACATACACACAAGAATTGTAATACTATATTTGTAATTAAATGATTAACGAATACCTATAATACAACACATGTGAGGAGCAATTTGTTTAGGAATTTTAATTGAATGGTAATGTTAAATATTAATAACGTGTTTAGGTATTTGGAAAGTGAAGCCGACGCTATAAAAATTATTTAGATCTAGGATAACACCTTTCTGTCCTTTGTCATTATAACCGTTGTAGAAAGCAGAAATATCCCAATAAAATCAGATTTATGCATGTTATCATTAAACTATATATTGAATTAATGTATCTTTAAACTACAATCAGATCTTGAATAATAAAGTTAGTCTATTAAGTTGATGTACCAAATAACCATTGAATTTCTCACAAAAAATCCCTCCGTTTTTGAGTTGGTCACTGGAAGCTAATGGTCCAATTTGGAAGCCCAATGATGTTTCTGATGGGATGCAGTCAAGAAAGAAACTGCAATCGTAAAAAGAGGATGGACATCTTTGGTAGCCAAGACCTTAAGCGAAATGGGTCGACAAAAGTTGCCATGGTTATAGAAAAAATAAAGAAAGATATTCGACTACACCTGCCATAAACTAACCAGTGCTATTTATTTAGCTTAACATATATATGAATCATCACACTCTACTATATTAATATTAGGCAATTTACTATTATTGTAGATATATAATTTTATAATTAAATGTTTTATTTATATATATCTTTGAATAATTGTTAGGTAAAGCTATTTCTCCTTCTATAAAAGATTATTCTGAACTAATGTTTCATTTATATATATAATTTCAAACAAATATTTTATTCATGTATATATATAAATATAAATATAAATAAATAAATAGCGAAATAACGAAATAAATAAATAATATATATATATATATTAGTTAGGTTAAACTCTTTCCCTCTCTTTTTAAATATTATTCAAAATATTGTTTTATCCATATGAATATATTTCAGTTAGTTAAATCTAATTATCCGTCTCTCTGTCTCTCTGTCTCTCTCTCTGTCTCTCTCTGTCTCTCTGTCTCTCTCTGTCTCTCTCTCTGTCTCTCTCTCTGTCTCTCTCTCTCTCTCTCT